ATAATAACTACAAAATATTTTTAAAAAACATTTGAACTAATAAATACTTATTTTAGGTCTCAAACTATCTAATTACTAAAGCACGTCAATATGCGCGTATTAATAGTCTGGGAGATATCCAACTTGAAAAGCTTAAGATAACTAGAGAAAAATTAGCACCAGAAAAAAAAGAACAAATTGAATATTTTATTCAAAATAAAGCGAACGTAGTAATGAGCTTTTATAAAACAGATAGTACTACTAAATTACCTATATATTACCTAAAAAATAATAAAGAGGCTTTATGGAAATGGTTTCATGAAGAGTACCCTAATGGTGTTAAAAGGACAACATTCTATAAATATTTACAAGACGGCCAATATATATATAAAGAGGACTTAGATGGTCTTTGCTCAATCTGTAATATGTATCGATATGAAACATTTAATGAGCTTAGAACATTAGTACAATGCTATGCGGACTTGGATCATCAGATATTAAATTCAACATATTAATCGAAGCCCTTTGGAATCATAGCAGATCAGATAAGCGGGTCGTATGGTACAGGACAACTATATCTTGCTTGTTAGCTAAGGTATTACAAAGATCAATATGATATGACTAACCAGATCAATATGGTATAGATGTGATTTTATCAAACTATATCAATAGTACGGTTTGATGAATCACATCCATACCATGATCTGACAGTCGTACCATATTGATCTTCTGTAATTCCTGTTAGCTATAGTTCTAACCCTAATATTAATATATATATATATATAACATCGAATCAGTATGGTACAAATCTTCAAATCGGCCCGTACTGTACAATACTGATCTGTAATCTAGCACCATTCGAATGCTATTCAATATGTATGATACAATAATTTTATCATGTGATTTCATGAACATAAATGTCCATGAAATCATCATATTACAAGTTGAATAGTATTTAAAATTGTCAATTAACCAACATGTGGTTACTCTTTAACATCGACTAATTTATAATTTAATAATAATAAGGAACGATTATTATCCGAATGTAATAACCTACAAAGATATTTAAAAAAAGATTATGAAACTGAACTAAAAGTAGATTTTTTTAGATATATAAAACATAATATCTATATTAACTATTGTATGCTTTATACTTTTGAAACTTGCTTAGAATTGTATAAACTAACTTGTAGTCATTGTGGAGTTTTTTTTTGCTTATTTAGACAAATTCAAGATCATACACTATTTGAAATTCATGAAGAATTAAAAGAACTACAAGAACACTTATTATATTATTTGGCACATCAAACAAGAAAAATTTATTTAAATGTGCAATTTAATGCGCATTTAGGTGAACTTGATGAAAAAGGGGCCGTAAATGTTGTAGACTATAAAATGAAAATTCTACCAAAAGTGCATGTGAAACAAAACAAGATTTTTTTGGAAAAAAAGGATGGTCATTGCATTCAGTATTGATATACACTCACCTGCTCAATAGCAATAATTTACAGGTTCGTGCTTTTGACCATTGGTCGACAGATTCATGTCAAGACGCTTGATTCACCGCTTCCTCATTACATGCCGCAATAACTGAGCTTAATCCTCAGCCAGAATGGATTTCTTTTTTATCTGATAATGGGCCCCATTATCACAATGCAGATCTAATGATAATTATGGGGCAATAGAAAGAATGATACAATATTTATATTAAAAAATGGACTTTTCTTGAAGCTGGTAAAGCTAAAATGACCATTGATTCTCACTATACACAGGTTTACCTATCAATTTTTTTTAGTTATTTTTTATTTTTTATTTTTTTGATTTTATTTTATTTTATTTTATTTTATTTTTTTTTTTGGAATATTTCTAGATTTCGCATGCAATCAGTCGTCGTGTCCATTTGGGATTTGATATTTCACAGGGATTAGATATTGAAGTAGTGATTGAAGGAATTCGTGAAACATCAGTAGCCCACTTAGAACCAGAACGTACTAAAGGTAAGACAAGTACCATATTCTTCTGACATGTGTATCCAGGGTATTCCTCTAGCTTATATTATATATCCGGGTACTCATGTAGAACACGAATACTTCTATGTTTTTGACATGTTTTGCTATTATATGTCTAAGACATATGTATAATATCCCCATACTTATATACCTGGGTGTAAATCAAAAGTTTGCCTTTACAGCTGTTTTCATAATTCTTGAAATACCTGAAAAAATTAGGCAAATGATAATAGATTATGTATGTATGTACCAATTTTTATTGAATCTATTATGCTGAAATAATAACTTACCCGAATCGACCGAAAAATCATTTGGCTAATTTTTACAGGTATCTCAGGAATTATAAAAACAGCTGTAAAACCATTACAGAGTACAGCTCACGGGGTATCATGTCAGAGGAATACTGGTATAAGAGATTTAAAGCATTAGATAAATTGTTCTTTTTATTAGTTTCAGGTAAAAAGTGGATCAATACTTTACCGGGTAACTCCAACTGGTTCTCATGGGAGTGGCCGTGCGATGGCGATTATGCAGAATACATTTTAGCACATTCAATGCCTAATATTGGTGAATAGAACAATTTTTTACTGACAAAATTAGAGAAATTGAAAAAGAAAGAAATACAAAAACCAAATCCTCAAGTAACTCAGCGTTCGACCCCCAAATCTCCATAGTTTATTCCATTACTACATAAATTAGGTAATATATTATTATCTTATTATATTTTTGTGCAAATTATATGGTTATCTGTTCTCTATTATTAGAAGTTATTTCTCATCACTCGACAGCTAACTACTTACAAGAACTAAGCAAAGGAAAAAAGTAATATTAAATCTATTCATATTCTCAATTGTTCTATTCAATATATTAACTAATAAAATTCATAATATACTACTAAATAAAAAGTATGCATGAAGCATTTCCACTTATATTAGGGTGAGCGCTAAAGGAAAATCAAAAATTCGGAAAAAAAGGGGCAGGCAAAAGAATTAGTAAACATGTAATAGCTTATTTGGAAGGGTATTTTTTGGTGAGTAACGCTAATAAAAGTGATAGATATAGTGCGGAAGAAATGTGGAAGGAATTAAATGAGTTAGTAAAAGTGGGTAATCTGGAGAAAAGCAACGTTCCAAAAATGCTAACTATTCAAAACTGGATCGCAAGATATGCAGTGCAACACAAGCAAAGAACAGCAGAAATAAAAATTTATAACAGTATATAATAAAAGTTATATACGTATGTACTCAAATCGCAAAGAGTTAAGGTTTTAGAGAGGCAGAATCTGACGTTTCCCCAATATAAAGTTTTTAGTAATCGAACTTTTTTAAAAAAAAATACTGATACTTGATTCTCTTGGTCTTACGTAATCGGTTGTACTACAATTTTTAATATAACCAGAACTTAATTTGCCTGATTAATATGAAATAAAGTTTGCCATTTTTACTTCTTTTATAAGTGATCTGCAAATGTTTCCTCTAAATCTAATAATAAATTTTACTAGTTTATACGCGGATCATGAATTAAGTTATAACAAAAAGTTATAATAATGAAATTGTAACGAAAATATAATGAATAGTAATAAATAAATAATAAATTATAGTAAATAAAAATAAAGTTAATAAAGAGTTTAAGTCTGTTTCCTAAATAAAAGTTGATAATAGTGTTCAATAGAATATTAACAAAATATTTAAATTTTGTTAAATAATTGTTTGATAGAAAGTTAACAAAATATTCGAATTTTGTTAAAATAAAATTGTAGAGTTATAGTTCTAGATTTCATCACTAGATCTATTTGTCATTAAAAATTAATGAATGTCTAATAAAATATATAATAAAGTAAATAATAAATAAGTGATTAATAGAATTTAAATTCAATAGCCTCAATAGATACTATAAGAAGTAATAGGTCAATTACTGGGGTTATCATCTATTGTCCTTTTTGTATGAGCCAGGTATAACAAAAATTTGTTTGCCCTGTACAAGAATTACTAGCCACTAAAACTTAGAAATATCCTAAGATATAACCAGAAGAAGTAGTACTAATAACCAGGCTGTCAATAGCTATATAGAGCTTTTAAATTCTAATAATATAAAGCTAGTATGTGCCAGTATACTATTCACAAATACAGCTATCACTTTATATTATTTGCAAGAAAGAGAATAACTGTTCTAATAAAAAAAATAAAATATAAAAATGAATAAAATATAAAGTCCAATAAAATATAAATCAGGTCCTGAATATAAAAAAAAATATTTGTAGCTACTAAAATAAAAAAAAAGTCTGATTCTAAAAATAAATCCAAAATAAATCTTTTTAATCTAGCATTTATTGCCTCAATTCCTTGTGAATTGGTTTCCTTGTTTTTATCCAAAAGTAATATATTAAGCCTTTGTCTTAATTCAAAAGAATTAGATTATTGTTCAAAAGTTGTATCTCAAAATATCTTTGTCTCAATTCAATAAGAATAAATAATTATAATAAATATAATTGTTCATTGTAATTCAGTAATAGGTTATCCAAAAAGAGAAGTCCAAGTAGTAAAGGAATATTCAAGAGAACAAGAAGAAACAACTTGTTTTCAAATAAGGTTAGAGAGAATAGTAATGAACTGAGAAAAACTAGTCTATAGTGCTAATGGTGGTTAGTATAAAGAATTTTGTAATCCTTTTGTAAGAATAAGAATAGTAGAGATAGTTGTTTGACATTATTGTAAAAATTGTTATCTCTGTTGTTGTTGCTTTAAAACTCTTTTGTATTGTCTCTTTTTCCAAAAATAATAACCTTTTGATACTTTGTTTTTAAAGAAGAATACCATAGTAGATAAAAAAATAATAATATCAAGTTATATATAAGATCTGAGAAGGTGAGAAAAAAATAAACTTGAAGAAAGAAAAATAAAGTGAAATAAAAATTTAAACAAAATAGAAAAATCGACATTCAAGATATTGGTATTATGCTAAGAGGATTTGTAACTTCGAAAGAAAATGTAGAGGAACTCTTTATGAATCTAAAGAAGGTAAGAACATCAAAAATGGTTAGGTAGGTGCTGAGATATTAAGAGTCAAAGTTTGTATAATAATATTCAGAAAAATAAAATTTTAAAGAAATTTATAGTAAAGAAAAGGGAGTAAAAACTTTGATGATTTTTAGAGAGACAGAGAAGTATTTTGGTATTAAGCAACCTATATACCAAAAGATAAAGGATGTTTTTAAGAATGTAAAGGAGGTGAAATTTTTAAAATAGGATTAATATTCATAGAGTTATTAAGGAAAAACTAAAGCTAACTAATGAGAGAAATAAAATTTTAAGAAAAGATAAAGAAAATAAGAAAGAACAAAGAAAGAAGAAGGGAGAGGAGATAATATATGATTAAAATAAATATTCTAATAAATTAACAATAGAAATAAAATAGTTTCCACCAGGTTTTGCATTTTTCTTAAAATTTTATATCTCTTTCTATCAAGAATTTTTGCTTTTCCGCCAGGAGGCACCAAATGTTACAATACTGTGGCCTTCTTAGTGATACGGGCCGATGGAAAAATCTTAGGTCAAGGCCGGCCCGGGCCGGCCCGGGTCAGC